GCAGGGGTGAGGGCCACATATTTTTGTTCCTGCTGCAGAAGTCCTTTCCCATCTGCTTCAAATTGTCCATATACCAGTAGATTGATTTTGGTGAAATTGCCAATGAGTGCAGGCAGAACTTGGACTTCCTGGAGTGCTGTTTCAAGAATTTTGGCAGTTACCTCATCACGTACTGTTATTTAACTCCATTGGTCTGTACTCTCCATCTATCACAAAGGCTATTACTAGAATAATCCTTAGGCACTGCTTGCTCAAATGCTCACTACTTATGCAATCTGTGCATTCCATGTGACAGGTTGGAAGATGTGGTTTGTTTTCTTGCCAACTTCCATTGCTAGTTGGAAATACACAAAATCCCCAAATATTTGGTGAGTGTGCTAAGTGGCCAGCCTTTCTCCAACCTTGGAAGCTGGAGAGAAGGGTGGGCATTGTCTGAGTAGTTGTATGGTAGTCTTCATCACCTACCAGCTGCAACGTTGGGAGGAAAGGATGGTTGTGTTATGTTCTACTCTGGAGCAGGAGCCCTCCATGTGAAATAATGCAGGAAGACTGGATGTTGTAGCTATTAGGAGAACTCTTAGCCAGAAGCATGTTCCTAGAAGACCTGAAACCATCAGTGCCCAATCAGATGCTTCCCCTTCTAAGACTCCACCCCTTGCCACAAAGACACAGGCTTCTGACCTAGTGCCTGGCATCCTTATTCTTTCCAAGAACTCATGCTCAGCATATGAATGGCATTAGCACACAGTCTTAAGTTTGGAGATAGATGCAGTGGCTCCATGTTGAAACTAGGCTCAGGAGCCATGGTTCTTGGTCCAGGCTGTGGTTCTCTTAGCAACTTGGGTTGTGCCATGGTAGTTGGCTCTGAAGCCACCTCTGTTGACACCATTGGTTCTCAGCCTCCAAGTCTGGGACCAGAGCATTCCTGGACTCCAGGGTTATGACACAGAGGGAGAAACTGGCATGTACACACTGCTGCCCTTCCAGGAACTGCTGGTGGAAAGAAAGTGGACTTGGCTGCCTGGAGGTGTCTCTTTACCTGTTAGCGCCAGGCTTTTATGGCACAGTTGTCTGCCTTGCCAACTTCTGTGCTTGGCAAGGTGAGTTCTGTAGTTCCCTCAATCTTGTATCCTGCAAATCTTAAGGACCGCACCTCCCATCATCCCAGACCACTGACCATCCTGTGGTGGTTTATGAGAGTTGTAGTCCAAAACATCTGGAAAGCGCCATGTTGGCAAACCTTCTGTAGTTCCATTGAAGTCTGGATTCAGACAATAAGTCTGTGATAATGACAGATAAGATGGGATCGTCAGTTGGCAATAAGTGTGGGAAGGTGTGCTGTGTACGAGATGAGAACAAGCACTGAACAGAAAGAGACAGTCATTGTGATTTTACCTGGAGCCTCTGTATGTGAAGCATCTTAGTTAAGCACATGGGTTTTGTGTAAAAAGACTTTATGGGAGGAAGCTGATGACAGCGCCATCAATGAGACTCAACATAAACATCGCAGGAGCAGTTAACAATGTGCTGCTAGTTACAGGTTACTTTTCTTCTGGAAGGAAATTAGATAGAGGCTAAGCAATCAATACCATAAAAGGATTTTTCATCATTTCCACTTTATACAGAGCCTAAAAACTTGAGTGCACAACTTCCTGGGCTTGGTTCTAACCTTTCCTTCTTCTAAATGCCTTTCAAAAGAGGTGTTTATTATGGAAACATCTATACAGTTTTGGGCAGTCACTTCAGTGTTCTCTTTAGAGTAGTACTTTTGTGTTTGGCCTTATACTGGACAGGTAAGAATGTCATGGGAAATAATTGTATTCTCTCTGCCTTTGGGTGTGCTTGAACCCCATATTCTGGCAGCAGTGGTAAAAACCCCACTTCCCAGCAACACACCCGTCTATGACAGCATTAAGTGAATTACTTGTTCTGTTTTTAACATGCTAATTTTCCAAAATACTTCTGCAGAATGGCATCATCCGGTCTCTGTAAATTCTGTATTTCCACGACTCTGTTGAGCAAGGTCATTCTAAGATCCTTGGTGTGTCTATTTATTGATTTAGTGTTTATATTTATATTCTACCCTTTCTCCTGTAAGGAAACAAGGCAGCCTACATGATCCTGCTTGTTTCCCATTTTCTCCTCACAATTTTTTGAGATAGAATAGACTGTGAGTCAGTGACCAAAGTCACCCTATAAGTTTCATAGCCAAATGGAGACTAGAGCTTGGATCTCCCAAGTCCCAGTCCTGTGCTCTCACCGCTGGGCAACACTGGCTTTCCTAAAGGTTACTATGGATAATTATGTTTTTATTATATTTTTATCCCACCCTTTTTCCTTTCAAGGAACTCAAGGCAGCTTATGTAATTCTCCTTCTCTCAGCCTTATCCTCGCAACAACAAACCTGTGAAGTGGGTCGGGCTGAGAGTCTGTTACTGGCCCAAAATCTCCCAGTAGGGACAAGAACCCAGATCTCCTGAGTCCCAGTCCTGCGCTCTTGACCATTATACCACACTGGCTCTCGGGTTGAAAGCATGTGGATAATGCCTAGTGCTGTCTCGTAAGGCTTGTTGAAATAACATTTTCAGTGAGTGGGGGCAGACCTGAAAGCTTTAGTGGATACCTCATTGGCTCTGAATGCATATCTTCTGCTTCTGTTAAGTATAAAATCACATGCATAGTTTGTTACAGAATCTGGCTAGATTCTGACTTCTGTTTTGGGTGTGAATATGCAGAGCATGTGCACATTCACTTACAACCTTTTATGCAAGAGTGACATCAGTCTTCTCTATAATACTGGAATCAGCACGGTCCATCAATATATATATTTGCAAAGTAATAATGCATCCTACATTTATTAACTATGAAGACCCAATTTTAGGTTTTGTTCCTTTCATTTTATCTGTTTTTAGTGAGTAAACATGATTGTCTCTTGCAAAAATAATATTCAAACACCAGGCCTGAACACCCCACCTTCCAGAGTCAATCACTAACTGTAAGATGGTCTTTCTTGGAAAAAGGAACATAAAAGACAGATTTCAAAATGAAATGGCTGAGCTACAATTGATCAGGAGTTTCAACTCTCTGCCTCTTGTGGCTTGAACAGGTACAAAGCGTTTTTTAAATCATTCTGTGAGTGTTAATCAGCTCAACAATGCCAGGACCTATGTGTTATCATCCAACAACTGTTTTATGAGTGGCTGCTCTTAGCGTAATTATAACTGTCTGCATCTGACTTAAATATTTACCATTCCTTCCTCCCAATTATACATGTATCTACAGATACACACATAGAAATAATGGTAAAATTTCATGCAGCTGATGAAGTAGAATATAGTCCATAAAAGCTTATTTCATAATGGAGTTGTTAGTCCTTAAGGTGCCACAGACTTAATCATGTTCTTTTAATTTGGTTGTTAGCAAACTTGGGACCCTTTGGGATAGAAATATATAGATATTTTAATAAATCCATGGCAAGTGATCCTAAGATAAAGAGGAAAAAGCCTTTCTGGAGTAGACCAAGATCCACCATTGCAGGAATCCCAATAGCAAGTGGGCATGAGAATGTAAGAGCAGCAGAAGTAATAGCATACATTTAAGGGACAGTGTTTTGCAAATAATAGGTTACATCTACCAAATGGTCAGCTTGTTCCATTGCAAGAAGTAGCAACTGGTAACTGTCCAGTTGTTGTTGATAAATGCCATCAATTCGTTTCTAACTTAGGGTGACCATATGAATGGATGCCCTCCAAAATGACCTTTCTTTCACAGCCTGGCTCAGCTCTTCTATGGACAAGACTGCGGAATCATTCCAAGATTGTATGGAATCAATCCTTCTCCCATTTGGTCTTTCCCTACCATGATTGCCTTCCTCAGTGAGTCTTGCCTTCTCATGATATGTCTGAAATATGGCAGCTTCAAGTTTTGTCACTTTTGCTTCCAGGGCAAGTTTTGGATTGATTTTTGGTGGGACCCACTTGTTTGTCTTTCTGCAGTCCAAGGTATTCACAAAGGTCTACAAATTAGTTAAACATTTATTAACTGCAGTTAACTGAAATTCCCCAGCTTATTGTTTAGTATGCTGCTGGCCAAGCTTTTGCAGGACCATGTTCACTTGCTTACGTCCAGAATTACCATATAGCTGTGTTACTCATACTTCTTATTCCACAGAAACTGTCCATGGTTTTGTATAAAACTTAAGAACCAGTGAGCCATCTAATGGATGCTGTTGCATATAAAATGTAAAGAGTGCTCCACTGCAGTTCCCATGAGCCCTAGCCAGAATAGCCAATTCTTGGGGATACTGGGAGTTGCATTCCAAAAACATCTGGAGGCCACACCTTCCCTATCCATGCCTGAAAGGAATCTTGGGAAGCTGTGGTCTGTGCGTGTATGCACACTTAACTGGATCTGTCTCTTAATTTTTCCAGAAGTTCAAGGCTGTATCAATTTCTGCAGGGGTTTTTTCCTGATTTGGGAGAGTTCAAGTAACACAGGAGTCTGCATATTTTGCTTCCTTTGATGATGTGCATTTCTTGAAGACTTCTGCAGGGATCAAACAACCCTCCATAATTTCTGTCCAGAATGGTCAGCCTTCCTGTTTGGATGGCTTGCACTGACGTTTCAGCTTTGTGCTGGGAACAGGCAGTGAGAGAAGCAAACAGTTAGCACAACAGAACCTCTCTTTCTTTGCTCTCCCTGCCTCTGTACATAGGGCTGTCTTTGAGCTTTTGTGTCAGATAAAGTTGAGAGCACCACTAGAACTGTTACGCATTGTTCAGGACAATGATATTTTCTTCTGATATGGAGAGAATAGTACAGTACATGCCTGCAACCATCCCTGTGGTCTTTTCTCCTTCTCTTTTCCTCTGCTTTCTAAGCACTTTCCTATGTTCAGTTGTGTGATTTTCTCAGGTACAAAGACAGATCTTTGAGGGATGGTTGAGTTTGGTTCCTAGTTTAAGAAAAAATCAATTCTCTCTCTTTTTTTTTACATGTAGGCAGTGTATGGCACCCTAGATGATTCTGCATACACAGCTCCAGCCATCTTTGACCATTGGTTATGCTACCTGATAGGAGTTGGACTCCCTGTGAGTTGGTCATCCATGTTTTAAGCACTTTTTCATTGCCAAGGAACCAGGAATGTTGACTGGACTCAATAATCGGCTAATCTTCTATCTAGTCTGGCAGGTGAATAGGATCTTGGGAAGTTTATGTGTCCATCTTCCATCCTGTGCTGGAGTTTGAAGACATGGCGCAGATATAGCAGGAGCCAACTGGGTGACTTTGGGCCAGTCACAGACTCTCAGCCCAACCTACCTCACATGGTTGTTGTGGGGATAAGATGGAGGAGGAGAGATGATGTACGCTGCCTTGAGCCCTTTGTAGGAAAAAGGCAGGAGAGAATGGGAGAGAGAGAGATTAAAACAAAACAAAAAAAAATAACGCTAAACCATAGTCCAGAACGCTATGGCCAGATTGTTAACCAATGCAGGAAGATCATAGGAGTCCCTTGTTAGAAGAGCTTCATTGACTAGCCTCCTGTTTCTAGGCACAATTCAGCATGCTGGTTATAGCCTATAAAGGCCTATGTGGTTTGGGTCAGGCTACGCTGAAATTCAGCTTTTCCCCATGCAAGCCTGCCCAAGTTTTAAGATCTTCAGGAGAACTGCACTTGTGGCTCCACCTGGAGGCCTGATTGGTGGTGATCCAGACAAGTACTTTGCTTGGTGGCTCTAGAGAGGCTAGGTTGGCTTTCCCTGCTTTTCATTTTCCAGGAGGCAAAGGTAGTTTTTATTAAGACAGGGCTTTGAAGTATAAGTTTGTGTGTTAAGTTGGGTTCCTTGCTGTTATGCTTCCTATTTTGTTATTGCTGTATTTTGACTGTTTTTTAATAATTTGATTTTTATTAACTATATTTTAATTCCTATGAGTGTAAGCTTCTTTGAGTGCCATTTTCTTGGTAGAAGACCGGCATGCAGCTCAAATGAATAAATGTAAACATAAATTGCCTACTGTACAGCAGTTTGATATTTGATATTAGTAAATAAGGTCACAGATAGACTAGCATTACAAGAACAAGCCTGTACAAGCATTGGACTTGCATGGTTCCCTGTCTCCTTTGAAATTGCCAATAAGAGTTTAGAACCTTTCTTTTTAGCCTTTCCTTAGATGCAGCTTGCCATGCTGCCAAGACCTGGACAAATTGCAGCTTCATTTAAAACGTGGTCGGTTTAAACAAAACAAGCCGGCAAGCCGGCATCAAATCATAGCTGGGTTTTATGGGTAGGCAGGTTTGTAGCTAGCTGTATTTACAAGGCATATGAGAACAGATGGTTTGAGTCTCTTAAAAGTCTGGGTATCTCTTACACCTTAAACGTTGGGAGAGAAGGACTGAATGAAGTGGGATCTAATCCTATCTTAAACGGCTTTAAACTCCTGGATCTTGTTATGGGACACTAATCTGTATCTTAAGTGTTTTAGGACATTGGCTAAGGAATGCAGGGTAGGGAAGTGTGCAGAATCTGGTTTGGAGGTTGGAATCCATCAGATTCTTGGCCTGCTTTCTCGCTTCCCTATATCCTCCTCACATTGAATGTTTGCCTGGGCATCCAGCAGGAAGCGATCTCAAGTGGAGCATTGTTTCCATGCACGTGGCTTGCAGGCTTTGCGGATTTTGCTCAACAAATTATGTACTTTGCACTGTGAATCCACTAGCATTCCCAAGTGTTCATAGACTTGATCTCAGCTCAGTGCACTTCCTGGCCAAGGCCAAGTGTAGGAAAGAAGTCTGGCAAGTGCAAAAGAGCTGGAATCTGACCTTGTCTTCTCATTCCTAATGCTTTTTCCTTCACAAAATGCGTAGGATTGTACCTTTAACTTCTTTGCCTTAGCTGAGGCATTACTTTAAATCCATACCTAGCAGCTGTAGTTTCCATTTTTACTCAAGAGGAGATACAAGGGCTTAGCTTGGGGATGCAGAAACCCTTTTAAGATTTCTGATTGGGCCTCCAGCTCTAACCTCTTCCACCTAGGAAAATGAAACCAAATGCATCAATACAAGATGGGGAATACGTGGCTCAACAGGACCGAGAAAGAAAAATAGTTCAGAGTAATTGAGGACAATAGACTAAATATGAGCCAACAATGTGATGCAGCCGCCAAAATGTTGTTTTGGGATGCATTAACAGAAGTATTACTTCCAAATCAAAAGAAGTAGTAGTTCCTGTATACTCCTCACTAGTCAGATCTCACCTGGAATGCTGTGTCCAGTTCTGGGCACCAAGATTTAAGAAAGATGCAGGAAAGTTAGAAAGGGTGCAGAGGAGGGAAACAAAAATGATCCAGGGTTTGGAAACACTGCCCTGTGAGGAAAGACTGAGCAAACTGGGCATGTTCAGACTGAGAAGAGAAGACTGATATCCCTCTATAAGTACCTCAAAGGCTGTAACAAAGAGGAAGGTCAAGATCTCACTGATGCCAGAGTGTAGAACACAGAATAATCAATTCAAGTTACGGCAACTCAGATTCAAGCTGGACATCAGGAAGAGCTTCCTAACTGTCAGAGCAATATGAAATAGGAACCAGTTGCCTAGAGAGGTCATGGGCTCTCCCACACTAGAGACATTCAAAACGAAACTGGGCAGTCCTCTGAATCGGATGGTGTAAATTGGTGTCCTGCAACAGCAGGGGTTGGACCCGATGGCCTTCATGGCCCCTTCCAGTTCTACTATTCTATGATTTAAAGTAAGGTCTGTTTTGGCACTCACACATTTGCCTTTTGCCTTGTACAGAGAATTTTTCTCTGAAGAACACTGAGCTCCACCCTTTCTGGTTAAAATTAAGCACTGCTTTACAGAAATGTTGAGTATGTAAAATCTGGGCGATTGATGCTGGAAATTACAACATCATGTCTTCCAGCTTGTACCCTTTCATTGTTCTGCAGGCTGTTTTTCATGTCAGCTCCTTTCCTGTAAATGCTCTTAAGATTTTTGGCTGAAGTTAAATAAAAATATCTTTGTGTTGCCCTCTAAGCAGGACTGCATACAATGATCTGACATTTCTACTCCTCCACAAATGACTATCATACCCAATTCTGTTCCAGTTCTAAGGGAAATGCACAGTTCTACTACCAGGGAAATGGTAACATTTTCTATGTCCAAAGAGAGCAATCATTTTGCAGAATCCAATTATAATATGTTAATCTTGTTTATGAACTAAGTTTGGTTTAAAATTAAGTCTTAAGCAAGCAAACGGCAGCGGGTTTTGGACTTGTACAAACAAGTTATTTTTGTGTGTAGTTGAAACTCCCTCATCTCTGTGCTTTCATAGTCAGATAATGGACAGAAAGGCTCAGACTGGAAAAAGAGGTTGGTAGACTGTCTTTTTAAGTTGCACATGCAACTCTTTGTCATGAAGAGTTGTTTCTATCTGGGAAACAGAGCTTCAGTAGTTAGCAGAAACTGCTGATGAATTGTGAGCTGACAAAATTGGTTTTCTTCTTGGCATGTAGAAAAAGTATCTTGGTATTTCCACTGTGTTCATTCAGGAAGAGTCTTGAGTAGGGATGTGTGGCACTGAAGCTACCTTGTAGCCAGGAGATTTTGGTGCAGTTGTCCGATTCATGAGCTGGAAATGGGTTAAGTTGGGTTCTAGTGTGCAGCTTTTGCTTTCAGAACGGCCCATGATTCATGGGTTGTTGGTTTTTTAAGGCAGGGGAATTTGCATAAATTGGTTTCACAACTTGTGCATATCACAGCCACATTTTACACAAATTGTGGCCATATTTTGCACAAATTTAATCTGCCTTTATTATTAAAAAAAGCAAATGTTGGCCCATTTTCATAGCAGAAGACCATGTGCTGGGCTGCTTGACTTGTGTTGAAGTGAGTCAGTACCAGTACTGGGTGGATGGGCTGTAGTCCAGGTGGCTGAGCCAGGCCAGTCCTCCAGATTTTGGTGACATCCCCCCCCCCACTGTATTCCTCACACGTCTCTAGTTTTAAGCTGGGAATAAGTAAAAAGTAATGCCATAGGTTTCTGCTACTGAGAATTGATTAATTAATGCAGGTTGAACAAGCCATTAAAAAGTGCATAGCTTTTAAAATTTGGCATCTGTTCCTTTTAACAGTCATACATTTTGGGGTTTTTCCCCCTTTCCTGTTTTCTTGTAGAAATTGTGGTTTATGTCTTTTTAATGGTGATTTCAGTCATATATTTCCTGGCTGACTGGAAAAAATTTCTTGTCCTTCTCCTCTCCTCCCCATGACTCACCCTTTGTTTAAAAATTAGACTATGTCGCACAGTTCCTATGTTTAAGTCAGTGGTGTTCACCATTTTGCAAGCAGAGGTCCCGGTGTCCCCAGCAACCACTGCCAAAGCTACAAGGCAGCCTTTCCATTCCTCCATTTCCCAGGCAAGCAACAAAGGTATTCACCAACTCTGCTGGAGTCCTTATTGGGCCTCACCTCCCGGTTCTCTCCAAGGTGTCCAAGCAAAGCTTCATTAGTCAGTCAACAGGCAAGCAAATTCCAACAGTCTCACTTCAGTCTTAGATTGGGATGGAACTTTCTCTTGCCCCTAAGAGCTTTCTGCTCCATCCCGCAAGCATCCCTCAGGGCAGGGCCCTACTCCCTTGGCTCTCATCTGCATGTTCAAGTTGCTTTCCAGTGCCCATGCAGTGGCACCATTGCAGCTAGCTGATCCCCGTGCCCTTTGTGTATTGGGCTTCTGTCCCCCACCACAGCTAACTGACTGACAGCCTTCCCACCTTACAATTGATGTGTGTAGGTCTCCTAACTCCCAAGCACCAAAGCTTCCTTCAGTAGCCCAAATCACAGCAGTCAAACCACTGCTAACAAAAGCAGCATGGCTCAGGTAAAAAAAGAAGTGAGCAAAGGCAAAGCAGAAAGTTACACCTGAGCTGAGTGTGACCTGCCAGTGGCTCTTGCACCTTGTAGCAAAGAACACTGTTTTAAGTTAAAGTAGGGTGACAGTTTTTCTCACACTTTGCTACATGACTGATAGCAGGAGACTGGAAAGTGCAGGCAGCCCTTGTTCATTTACTGTCTGGAGTGGCAAATCCTTAATG